AAATGTTATTGTATTTTTATTATTACTTAAATTTCACATTTTTGGCCATTTTAGTATTTTTGACTTTTTCAATAATTTGACATTTACGTAATAAAAAAGTCATATTGTCGGTGTTGTGACATCCTTTATGTTTTTTGTTTTCACGATTTTATTGTTTTTGACAATTTTGAATTATACATTTTTCGTCATTTACATATTTTTTAATTTTTAAATAATTTGACTTTTGCGTATTTGTAAAAAAATTATATTGTCACTCTTGTGACATCCTCTATGTTTCTCGTTTTGACGATTTTATTGTTTTTGATTTTTGACAATTTATTAATAAACTTGACAATTGGAAAATTTACATTTTTCGCCATTTCAGTATTTTTGACATTTTCTACATTTTGACAGTTAAGTAATATAAAAAAATTCAGTGTTGTTTGTTTTTTGTTTTTCAAGGTTTTGTTGCTTTTGACATGTTTGAGATTTTATTAATGTTTTTGACAATTTTGAATTATACATTTTCGAAATTTCAGTGTTTTTAACAATCTTAAAAAATGTTGTTGTATTTTTATTACTGCTTAAAATTCACATTTTTGACCATTTTAGTATTTTTGACTTTTTCAATAATTTGACATTTGCGTAATAAAAAAGCTATATTGTCAGTGTTGTGACATTCTTTATGTTTGTTGTTTTCACGATTTTATTGTTTTTGACAATTGTGAATTATACATTTTTCGTCATTTTAGTATTTCGAATTTTTCAAGAATTTGATATTTGCGTAATATTAAAATAAATATATTGTCACTCTTGTGACATTCTTTATGTTTTTTGTTTTCACGATATTGTTTTTGACTTTTGACAATTTATTAATGAACTTGACAATTGGAAAATGTACATTTTTCGCCATTTCAGTATTTTTGACATTTTCTACATTTTGACATTTAAGTAATATAAAAAAATTCAGTGTTGCATGTTTTTTGTTTTTTAAGGTTTTGTCGCTTTTGGCATGTTTGACATTTTATTAATGTTTTTGACAATTTTGAATTATACATTTTCGCCATTTCAGTGTTTTTGACAATCTTAAAAAATGTTGTATTTTTATTATTGCTTAAAATTCACATTTTTGGCCATTTTAGTATTTTTGACTTTTTCAATAATTTGACATTTGCGTAATAAAAAAGTTATGTTGTCGGTGTTGTGACATCCTTTATGTTTTTTGTTTTCACGATTTTATTGTTTTTGACAATTTTGAATTATACATTTTTCGTCATTTATATATTTTTTAATTTTTAAATAATTTGACTTTTGCCTATTATTAAAAAAAATATATTGTCACTCTTGTGACATCCTTTATGTTTTTGTTTTCACGATTTTATTGTTTTTGACTTTTGCCAATTTATTAATGAACTTGACAATTGGAAAATTTACATTTTTTGCCATTTCAGTATTTTTGACATTTTCTACATTTTGACATTTAAGTAATATAAAAAAATAAAGTGTCGAATGTTTTTTGTTTTTCAAGGATTTGTTGCTTTTGACACGTTTGACATTTTATTAATGTTTTTGACAATGATGAATTATACATTTTCGTCGTTTCAGTGTTTTTGACAATCCAAAAAAATCTTACTGTTTTTTTTATTGCTTCAATTTCACATTTTTGGCCATTTTAGTATTTTTGACTTTTTCAATAATTTGACATTGCGTAATAAACAAGTTATATTGTCAGTGTTGTGACATCCTTTATGTTTTGGTTTTCACGAATTTATTGTTTTTGACAATTTTGAATTATACATTTTTCGTAATTTTAGTATTTTGAATTTTTCAATAATCTGACATTTGCGTAATATTAAAAAAATATATTGTCACTCGTGTGACATTCTTTATGTTTTTTGTTTTCACGATTTTATTGTATTTGACTTTTGACAATTTATTAATGAACTTGACAATTTTCACCATTTCGCCATTTCAGTGTTTTTGAGAATTTTAAAAAATGTTATTGTATTTTTATTATTGCTTAAATTTCACATTTTTGGCCATTTTAGTATTTTTGACTTTTTCAATAATTTGACATTTGCGTAATAAAAAAATTTATATTGTCAGTGTTGTGACATCCTTTATGTTTTTTGTGTTCACGATTTTATTGTTTTTGACAATTTTGAATTATACATTTTTCGTTATTTTAGTATTTTTGAATTTTTCAATAATTTGACATTTGCGTAATATTAAAATAGTATATTATTAGCCAAGGTTGCAGAGCCAAGCATTCTAGACCGAGCGCAAATTAGAACCCGAGACGCGCAGCGTCGAGGGCTCTAAGTGCAAGGTCTAGAAGTGGCTTTGCAACCGTGGTTAATATACTATTTTTTTCACTAGTAGAAACCATAACACAATAAACTGAAAAATAAACGTTAAATTTTTTGACGCAACGTGATTTTGTTTTGATTTCTAATCAAACTTGATCTAAATCTTCAACACAAAGAAAACCGTTTATACTTATCACTGAGTTAATCATTTTATCTTCTACCGTCTACCAACTACCATGCGTATACTCAAGTAATGTTTGTGGCACACATTTGTTAATTTTTTAAGAAATAATCACATCAAACATTGCGTACATAACCTCAATTTTTCTTTTTGAACCCGTGGTAGCAAAAGTTGAATTTGCTACCACTAAATGAGTCGACATTTGCATGCGTCCAGGCTGCTAGTGAAAAAAAATTATATTGTCGGTCTTGTGACATTGTTTATGTTTCTTGTTTTCACGATTTTATTGTTTTTGACTTTTGACAATTTATTAATGAACTTGACAATTGAAAAATTTACATTTTTTGCTATTTCAGTATTTTTGACATTTTTTACATTTTGTCGTTTAAATAATATAAAAAATTCAGTGTTGTATGTTTTTTGTTTTTCAAGGTTTTGTTGCTTTTGACATGTTTGGCATTTTAATAATGTTTTTGACAATTTTTAAAAATGTTTCTGCATTTTTGTTATTGTTTGAATTTCACATTTTGCATTTTACTATTTTTGACTTTTTTAATAATTATTTGACATTTGCGTAATATTAAAGAAAAATATATTGTCACTTCTGTCAAATCCTTTGTTTTTTGTTGTCACGATTTTATTTTTATTCACGTTTGACAATTTATTAATGATCTTGACAGTTGGAAATTTTTATATTTTTCGTTATTCAAGTATTTTTGACATTTTCTACATTTAATAATATGTATTTAAAAAAATAATTGTTAGATCTTTGATACACTGTACGTTTTTTTGTCACACTTTTATTGCTTTTGACATTTTACTAATCTTTTGGAACAAGTTTGAATTTTACACTTTTTTTTTGTCATCAGTCTTTCATATTTCACGTTTTTAGTATTTTTGACATTTTCAAGATTTTAATATTTAACTATGTATCAAAAAATATATAGCGTCAATTTTATGGTATCTTCAAGTATTTTTGATTTTCATGGTTTTATTGTTTTTGACATGTTTGTTATTTTATTAATGTTTTTGACAATTTTGAATTATAAATTTTTCGCTATTTCAGTGTTTTTTAACAATTTCAACAATTTGATATTTTAATAATTGAAAAATTTGGTGTCACACTTTGTAATATAAAAAAATACAGTGTCGTATGTTTTTTGTTTTTCAAGGTTTTGTTGCTTTTGATATGTTTGACATTTTAATAATGTTTTTGACAATTTTTAAAAATGTTTCTGCATTTTTGTTATTGTTTGAATTTCACATTTTGCATTTTAGTATTTTTGACTTTTTTAATAATTATTTGACATGTGCGTGATATTAAAAAAAATATATTGTCACTCTTGTCACATCTTTCACGTTTTTTGTTTTCACGATTTTATTGTTTTTGACGTTTGACAATTATTAATGATCTTGACAATTAGAAATTTTACATTTTTCGTCGTTTCAGTCTTTTTGACATATTCAACATTTTGACATTTGAATAATATGAAAAAAAAATAATTGTTAGGTCTTTGATATATTTTACGTTTTTTTTTTTTATCACAGCTTGATTGCTTTTGACATTTTATTACTGTTTATGAACAAGTTTTAATTTTACACTTTTCTTTGTTTTCATCTATCTTTCATGTTTCACAGTTGCACCATATTTCACGTTTTTAGTATTTTTGACATTTTCGAGATTTGACAGTTAACTATTTATTTAAAAAAAAATGTAGCGTCAATTTCGTGGTATCTTCAAGTTTTTTGTTTTCCGTGGTTTTATTATTTTTGACATGTTTGACATTTTATTAATATTTTTGACAATTTTGAATTATACATTTTTCGCTGTTTCAGTGTTTTTTAACAAGTTCAACAATTTGATATTTTAATAATTAAAAATTTAGTGTTCCACTTTTGACCTGTTTTGCTTCTACACTTATTTTTTTGACATATTTGACATTTCTAGTATTTTTGATATTTTCAAAATTTTGACATACCTATTAAAAAAAATAGTGTTACTTTTGTACACCCTTTATGTTTTTTGATTTTCACGCTTTTGTTATTTTTGACGACGTGTTTGACATTTCACAAAAATTTTTAACAATTTTGAATTTTATATTTTTTGTCATTTTAGTATTTTTGATATGAAAAAAACAGTTGAAATTTTTTTTTCAGCACGGAATACCGACATAAGTTTTTTTTTGTCGAGAGTAGTAACACGCATTATCCATTACGATAACACTATCGCGTGATAACTGTAGAAAGAGATTTCCTCCGAATATCAAGGTCTGTAATTGTCCCAATTAGATAAATATTATGAAAAAAATTTTAAAATTAGTAGCATATTCTAGAAAACTAGAAAATTCCACCACCAAAGAGTCCACAAACTTGATCCCTCAAACCCCGCCGCCTCTCCAACCCGCCCAGCCCCCTCGCCCCCCAACCCATCCCATTGTCCGTCACTTCCGCCCGTTTCTTCCTGTGGTCAAAACACTGTCGCGATCCGCAAGCGCGCGGTTTCGGCGCGCCATGTGCCCGCAAATTCGCCTCAGTTGCAGATACCCGGCATCGGAATCGGCGTCTCGACGCTCGCCGCCGCCGCAAAACGCGCTTTTTACGTGTTCCGAAAGTCATGTGGGTGCCGCCGCGGCCGTGAAAATGGACACAAGTAATTTTTTTCGCCGCAGGTACGTCTCAAGGACGCCCCGTCCTCGGCCGCTCGCCGATTTATGGGCGCAATAAAAGAGTGCGTCGCGACGCCGACACATGTCCAGCGGGTGTTTTACTAGACGCTCGACTTAATTAGGAAATTTAACGCGGAAACCCGGATTTCGCCAACCCCGGTGTCCCGTTGATTTTTCATTAAATGCATTTTTTGCGCGATAGAAGTGCTTACTTGGAATCGTAGGAGCATCCCCGTATCTTATCGCAATATTTATCTTGTTAACATATGTTATTTGAGCGTAATCGTATAAACAAACCCCCCTGATCCCCCAAATATTGATTTTATTTGGATCGTGGGATGGAGGAAGAGTTAGAGGTGATACAGCGATGGTGTTTTTTGATGGGTTCATCAACGACGCCGTTAAACATGGCAAACAAAACAATCAAGGAACCATACGGGGTGGTTAATTAAGGGCGCAGTTACCCGCTTTATGTCCTCTACACTTTTTCCGCCGACGTTTGTCTCAGCAATCTCGTCCCCCCTAATTATTTCCGTGTGAGCTTTATCATAAAAGACTTACGAGCTTAAAAGCTCAGCGCAGATTTTTAATCTTATCTGTAATTATTTTTAAAACCGGCTAAGTTTTCGGCTATTTCGGTGATAATGTGGCTTAAAGTGCGTATTTGTTAATACACAGATAATCTTTACCTCGTGGGTGGCTGTAATTTCCCATAATTATAAATAATCTGAGTTACGTTTAACATTGTCCATTAGCGAACTGCATGATGTTATCAATTCAAGGCCGTGTTTTCTTGTTATCTGCTATCTAATAGGTGATAATACGAGACCATAAAGACGCTATCAATATGGTTTCGGCGTTGCGAGAACTGAGGTTCATCCTCCGCGATAACTTTTTTTGTGCCAAATTGACACTTTTCACTTTATAGTAGTAGGCTCTGTCGGATTCTAATTTCACAGCTCGTGGAATACGGAAATGGAGATTTTCAGTTTGCGTCGATCTCTCTGTGCATGAAATTTAACAATTTCTTTTAAAAATTACGTCACTCGTGCTGTTTGAGGCGGCAAAATTTGTTTATTTACTATGTCCGGAATGGTAATGGAGTGGCTGTTACGTACATTTTTATTTATTTATCTTCGGCTGTATTTTCCGCTTTTTTAGAATGACGGTTTCTCGGAAAAAATTGATGTGCGAGTTGATGCAAATTATGGATTATTTCAGAAACGTCTCATTTAATCTCGGTGAAATTCTGCAAACGTGGGTTACGTTGTAGATATAAAAAATTAATCTGATCCACCCTAAAAAAAGTTCTATTAATAACTTTATGGGTTTTTTATGGCCATATCTGTGTTTTTTCGGATATATTACTTTGTAAGCTCTTGCTTTATTTATCTAATATTTTGTAATTATGTAAGGTGTGATCAACAAAAACGGCTTCGAGTTGGTATCACACAAACGAGCTGTGTTTCCGTTCTCCCATTGCCAATTTCGTTTGAACTTCTTGACCAGTTTTTAATTATTTTATTTTATGTACATAATTTTTTGCTTTATTAATTTTATTTCAATTTCCGAATCATTATTATTATCGCTTTTGCATGTCACTTTTTTTGCCGCTGCTTTTCTGGATTTTTTCTCCTCTTTTGTGTTAAGTTTTGGCGCTTTTGTTACCTCCATTTTTGATCGACATTTTTTTTTCCTTTTTTCGCCTGTTTCGACTTTTTCCGCGTTTTTTGTGGCTTTTTTCTGTCACTACTATCGTGGTCTTTTTATTCCCTTTTTTCGCTTTTTCTTTGTGCTAATTTTTGACGTGTTTGTTGACACTTATTTTTTTGTCGTTTTTTTCACCTCTATTTTTGCTGTTTTTGTCGTTTTTTCGACTCTTTTTGTAGCTTTCATTTGTCATGTTTTTTGTAACTCTTTTTCTTGACTTTTTGTGAATTTGTCAATTTTTTAAATCTTTTTTGTTCCTCATTTTTGTCTTTTTAGTTTTTTTTGACTTTTTTTAATTGTTTTTTTGTCGTCATTTTTTGTTTTCATTCTTTCTCGTGTAATTTCCCTCCATGTTTTTAATCGATTTATGTGCTGTTTTTGCAGCCTTTTTTGTCGATATTTTAATTCCTATTTTCTTCTCTTTTTTTTTCTATGACCTTTCGTTTACTGTCACCTATTTTTAAAATCGCTCTTTTTTAATCTCAATTTTGTCGCCTTTTCTTCCGTTTTTTTCCTGTGATTTTTGTTCCCTTTTTTATCGCCATTTTTTTTTCGTTTGTCCCCGTTTTTATTCCCGGCTTTTGAAGCATTTTTTATCGCCATTTGTTGACCTATTTTCCGCTTTTTGTTCTTATCACATTTTTGGTTGTATTTTTTGCGTTTTTTGCTTTTTTTCCCTTTTTTATAACAGTTTTTTTCATAGGTTTTTTTGTTGCCTTTATTTTTTGACGCCTAAAAACGTCGTTTTTTTGTCATTCTTTTATCTTATTTTTTGTAGCATTTTTTATTTCTTGGCGTTTTTTTTCTTTTTTTGTTCTATTTTTTTGCCTTTTTTGTCGCTATTTTTTGTTTTTGTTTCTTTCGCATGATTTCCCGCCATTTTTCTCCTTTTTTATATCGCTTTTTCTTGACATTTTTGTATCGATTGATGACGTGTTTTTTGCAACTTTTTTGCGATTTTTTTAATTCCCTTTTTTCTCCATGACTTTTTTCGTTTTTTTGTCACCTATTTTTAAAAGCGTTTTTTGTTTTTTATCTCCCTTTTGTCGCCTTTTTGGCGTTTTTTTTTTGCTGTCTTTTGTTCCCTTTTTATCGCCATTTTTTTCGTTTTTACCATTTTTATTGCCTTCTTTTAAAGCAACTTTTGTCACCGTTTGTTGAGCTTTTTTCCGCTTTTTTGTTCGCCTTTTCTTTTGCACCTTTGTTTTTTGTTTCTTTTTCGTTTTATTTCTAGTGACTTTTTGGCATTTTTCCACAGTTTTGTCACCCTTTTCGCCTTTTTTTAATCGCATTTTTAGTTGTTTTTTTCTTTTTTTTCATTTTTCCACCCACTATTTTGTCGTTTTTTCGCCATTTTTTGATGGCATTTATAGTTTTTTTTTTTGCAAATTTTTGACGATTTTTTAAATTCCCTTTTTGTTCTAGTTTTTATGACTTATGTTTTGAAGCGTTTGTTCATTTGTTTTTTTTCACCGTTTTCGTTGATTTTTTCGAGTTTTTTTGTCACCTTTTGTTCTTATTTTTTGTAATTCGCTTTTTTTTCTTGCCTTATTTTTGTCGCTTTTTTTGTGGCGTTATTTTAGAGTTTTTATTTTTTTTACCATTTTTCGTATTTTTTGTTGTTTTTGTTTCGTTTTTACCTCCTTTTTTCGCTTTTTTTGACGAGTTTTTATTGTTTTTGGTGTAATTTTAGCTGCCTTTTTTTTAGTTTTTTCACCGGTTCTTTTCACTGTTGCTGTCTTTTATCGCTCTTTTTGTCGCCTTTTTTGAAGCGTTTTTTTTGTTGGTTTTTTCTTGTCTTTTTTTGTCGCATTTTTTTGTGACTTTTTGGCAATTTAATTTCTATTTTGTTTTTTTTATGACCTTTCCCCGTTTTTTGTCCCCCTTACTTATATTTGTCGTTTTTTTGTGATTTTTTTTCGTCTTTTTTGGTCACTTATTTTTTGAAACATTTTTTGATTCCTTTTTATCACCCTTTTGCCCTCTTTTTATTGCTTTTTCATATTTTTTTTGTAATGGTTTTCAGTCACTTTTTTGTCTTATATTTGTCGTTTTTTTGTGACTCTTTTTTATATTCTTTTTTACTTTTGATTTTTGCTCGCTACTTTTTGTCGCCTTATTTTTGTAGAATTTTGCTGAATTTTTGGCAATTTTTTTAAATTCGCCTTTTGTTCTAGTTTTTATGACTTATGTTTTGAAACGTTTGTTTCTTTTATGCCCCTTATTTGCCTTTTCTGCCGTTTTTTGGCGTAATTTTGTTTTTATTTTTGTTTAATTTTTTTTAGCGTTTTTGTAGCAATCTTTGTGTCTTTTTCAGTTTTTTTTGGCTTCTTTGTCTTTTTTTCACCGTTTTCGTCGTTTTTTTGTTTTTTTTTACCTTTTTTGTTTTTTTTTTGTTTCCTTTTTACCTCTCCTTTTCACTTTTTTTTGTCGACTTTTTACCGTTTTTGGTGTAATTTTTGCTGCCTGTTTTGTTGTCTCTTTTGACACCATTTTTTAGTTTTTTGACCGTTTTTTTTTCTTTTTTGCACCCTGTTACTTTTTTAATCATTCTTTTATCGTCTTTTTTGAAGCGTTTTTTTTTGTTGTTTTTTTTATTGTATTTTTTGTGATTTTTTGGCAATTTAATTTCTGTTTTGTTATATTTCTTTTTCCGTCTTTTTGTCCCCAATTTTTTTAAGCGATTTTTTGTTCCTTTTTTTATCACTCCTTTTCGCTTTTTCTTGTCGGCTTTTTTTTGTCGTTTTTTGGTGATTTTTTGTGCTGTCTTTTTTGTACTCTTTTTCGCCGCCATTTTTTTCAGCGTTTCTGTCTTTTCTTCATCCGTTTTTCACGGTTTTTGTCGCTGTTTTCGAGTTTACTGGCGCATTATTTTTTTGTAATGGTTTTCAGTCACTTTTTTGTCTTATATTTGTCGTGTTTTTGTGACTATTTTTTATATTCTTTTTCACTTTTGATTTTTGCTCGCTATTTTTTGTCGCCTTTTTTTTTGTAGAATTTTGGTGAATTTTTTCGAATTTTTTTGAACTTCCTTTTTGTTCTAGTTTTTATGACCTATGTTTTAAGGCGGTTGTTCATTTTTTATCTCTCTTAATTGTCTTTTTTCCCATGTTTGGCTTAATTATTTACTCATTTTTTTCCCATTTTATCACCATTTTCACTGGGCTTTTTTCAGCATTTTTGTCGCTTTTTGTGACTTTTTTTGGAGATTTTTTGTTTTCACTTTTTTTCCATTTATTGTCGAGTTTTTACCGTTCCTTAGTGTAGTTTTTGCTTCCTTTTTTGTAATCACTTTTAGCGATATTTTTTAGTTTTTTTCACCGTTTTGTAGCTCTTTTCGACCCTTTTATCGCTCTTTTTATCACTTTTTTTGAAAGGTTTTTTTTCTCTGTTGCTGTCTTTTATCGCTCTTTTTGTTGCCTTTTTTTTAAGCGTTTTTTGTTGTTTTTTTTCTCGTCGTTTTTTTTTTGTTGTATTTTTTTCTGTCTTTTTGTCAGTTTTTCATCCGTTTTTCACCGTTTTGGTCGCCTTTTGTCCTACTTTTTTTGTCGCATTCTTTTTTTTATACAAGTTTTTTGGTCACTTTTTTGCTTTATTTTTATCGGTATTTTGTGACTTTTTTGGTATTCTTTCTCATTTTTGGTTTTCGTTCGCTTTGTTTTTGACTTTTTTTGTCACTTATTTTTTTGAAAAGTTCTTTGTTTCCTTTTTATCACCCTTTTGCGCTCTTTTTGTCGCTTTTTTTTATAATTTTTTGTCGCCTTATTTTTGTAGAATTTTGGTGAATTTTTGGCGATTTTTTTAAATTCACTTTTTGTTCTAATTTTGAAGCGTTTGATTCTTTTATGTCCCTTATTTGCCTTTTTTGCCGTTTTTGGCGTAATTTTTTACTGATTTTATTCTCATTTTTGTGACCATTTTGTTTAATTTTTTTTAGCGTTTTTGTAGCAATTTTTGTGTTTTTTCCCTCTTTTTGTTGGTAATTGTTTTTGGGTCGTTTTTTTCTTGCCTTATTTTTGGCGCTTTTTCCTATTTTTTTACCTTTTTTGTTGTTTTTTATTTCCATTTTACCTCTCTTTCGCGCCTTTTTTTGTCGACTTTTTACCGTTTTTGGTGTAATTTTTGCTGCCTTTTTTGTTGTCTCTTTTGGCGCCATTTTTCAGATTTTTACCATTTTTTTTTCTCTTTTTGTTTCCACCCTGTTACTTTTTTTATCGCTCTTTTATGGTCTTTTTTGAAGCGTTATTTGGTTGTTTTTTCTTGTATTTTTTGTGATTTTTTGGCAATTTAATTTCTGTTTTGTTATATTTCTTTATGACCTCTTTTTCCGTTTTTTTGCCCCCAATTTTTTTAAGCGTTTTTTTGTACCTTTTTTGTCACCCCTTTTTCGCTTTTTCTGTCGGCTTTTTTTGTCGTTTTTTTTTTAATTTTTTTTGCTGTCTTTTTTGTACTCTATTTCTCGGCCATTTTTTTCAGCGTCAGACTTTGTTGACGCATTCTTTTTTTTGTCTTATATTTGTCGTTTTTTTGTGACTTTTTATATTTTTTTTCACTTTTGAATTTTGTTCGCTATTTTTTTGACTTTTTGTTTCTTTGTCGCTTTATTTTTGCAGAATTTTGGTGATTTTTTTCGATTTTTTTTTATTCCTTTTTTGTTCTAGCTTTTATGACCTATGTTTTAAGGCGGTTATTCATTTTTTATCTCTCTTATTTGTCTTTTTTGCCATGTTTGGATTGATTATTTAGTCATTTTGTCACCATTTTCATTGGGGTTTTAGCGTTTTTATCGCTTTTTTCGACTTTTTTGTCTCCTTCTTTTGTTTTCGTTTCTGTAGTTGGTTTTGGGTTGCTTTTTTTCTTGCCTTATTTTTGTCGCTTTTTGTGACTTTTTGGAGATTTTTTATTTTTTCACTTTTTTTCCATTTTTTGTTGCGTTTTTAAGTGTAATTTTTGCTTCCTTTTTGGTAATCACTTTTGGCAAAATTTTTTAGTTGCTTTCACCGTTTTGTCGCTTTTTTTGTCACTTTTTGAAAGGTTTTTTCGTCGCTTATTCTTGTATTTTTTTTTGTCGAACTTTTTTACAATTTGGTTTTATTTTGTTGTTTTGTTTAATGACACCTTTTTACGATTTTTTTGTGTCCCATTTTTTTAAGCGATGGTTTGTTCCTTTTTATCACTCCTTTTCCGCCTTTTCTTGTCACCTTCTTTTTTGCTGTTTTTTATGCCCCTTTTCGTCCTAATTTTTTTTCAAGATTTTTGTCTTTTTTTCATCCGTTTTTCACGATTTTTATCGCTTTTTTCGTCACATTTTTTGGTAGAGGATTTTTTTCTTGCCTTATATTTGCCATTTCTTTTGAGACTTTTTTAAAATTTTTTCGTTTTTGTTCGCGTTTTTGACTTTTTTCGTCTTTTTTGTCACTTGTTTTTTGAAACGTTTTTTGTTTCCTTTTTATCAGCCTTTTTGTCGTTTTTGCCATTTTTTTATCCACATTTTCGTCGCCCTTTTTGTTTGTTTATTTTTTTTCGACTTTTTTGCTGTTTTTTTCGTATACTTGTCGCCTTTTTTATAGCTTTTTTCATGGCAGTTTATTTCGTTGTTTTTTTTGTTGCCTTTATTTTTTTGAGGCGTTTTTAGTCGTTTTTTTGTCATGTCATTCTTTTTCCGTCTTATTTTTGTTGCTTTTTTTTCTTTGTTGACGGTTTTTCTTTTTTTTGTTCTATTTTTTATTACCTTTATTGTCGCCTTTTTTGTCACCTATTATTTATAGCATTTTTGTCGCACTTTTTTGTCACCTTTTTAAAAAATGTATTGGATTAGAACGGTATACACACATTTTTTTGCTTTCTTGCATCCCTTTTTTACTTATTCACTTTATATTTTTTTTTTTTGGGATTTAAAATTAAATTTTCGTAATCCTGGAATATTTTTTATTTTGGTTTTCATTTTTTCCACACATTTATTTTTATTAGTTTGTAGTTAGACCTTGATCTATCTGATCTGTTTTGTCATATTTTTTACGCTGTTACTGTTTCCTTCTTCTCTTTTTTTTATTTTCAAAATTTTGGTTTTTATAGTTGTGTATATTTTTTCGATTTTTGTCCGCTTGTCTATTACTCCGTTATTTCAATCAATTTTTTTCTAAAACCACTCCAAACCCCATTACGCTTTCCACAAAACCCATACCACGCTTCACTACACACCTAACCCGCGAATAATGAACTTCCCCCTCCGCCTTCATGTCCACCATAAAAACTTTCCTCTTAGCGCCAGCCCCGAAAAACAAATAAACCATCTTCACCCCGATAAAAATCGAGTAAATAATTCAAAGTGCGTAACACCCTCTCAAGGCGTGCTCAATTACGTATAAAATTAGTCCATCCTGTATCGATTCAATTTCGAAATTGATGCGTTCTTCTGTCGTTTAGATAAGAGATCGTCGAGGGAGGATTATAACGTGGCCACCCCATTTGTGATGTGCGAGGGTTCAATGGATGATAACAGAGGAGGCGTTACTTCCACTAATACCACCACGGACATGCAGTCCACTTCCAACGAGGACGACCAGGATAAAGACCAAGGGTAAGTCGCAAACTCAAACCCAAACTAATTGCGTTCTCATGCACGCCTGGAATTGCTGGGGACTGCGCCACTTTTACGTCTTCACTGCCTGTGATCACAGTTTTGCTAGTGATGTTGCGAGTTTTATAGACTTTTCGCCGCCGACGCTACTTTTATCCCCATTTTTGCTTTATCACGGAATTATTTTCGTCCGTGAAAGTTGGAGCGCGTTGTCCGTTGCCCTCCGGCTTCCAACTTTGTCTTTCGCGAGATTGAAACGTACTTTTCAGTGGGAATCGATCAAACTTTTAAAAATTCCCAGCAGACGTCATTACCCGTCGCTAGGGGAAATTACCGTTTAGCTGTATACACTGCAAACGTTAGTTTTACGTAAGTCACGTAACGAAAAATGACCTACATTTCGCGATTGAAAACAAGAAACGTAGACAGACACCTGCGGTAACGAATCCAAAATGCGCTCTTGACACGTCTTGTCATTTTCTCGTTTCTCGCGTTTCTTTAACCACCTGTTTTCCGAGAGATCGATCGATCGGAAAGCTATTTTGTTGTTGTTTGGTTTAGGTTGAATGAATGTTTACGGAGTGTCACGGGACAAGTCCGCAAATACCGACCGAAAACAAGCGAGTGACAAATCAAAAGCAAACGATTTGTCCGAGACGAGTTATTGGATCTAAGTTTGTTGTTGTTGTCGGTTTTTGCGAAATTAGTTATCTCGGGGAAGCAATTATCTTGGAGTCAGCGCTTTGCGCAAACAAAGCGGCCGCGATGTACTTGGGCACGTAATGAACAGGGACACGGGAAAGGGTCCTACAGGATGAGAATTAACCGAACATGAGCGGTTGAGGGCTCTTCGGGGATAATGAAAAAAGTGGACGGTGTTGATTTTAATCAGGAAGAATCGGGCGGATGGAGAGGTTCGGGGCGGGAAAAATACATGGTGGTTTGATTGTTTTTGGGAAAAAAGATTTATTAAGGGACGCTTTAGGTTGAGTAAATTCGAATCCTAACGACTGCGCCAATTTTGTTGTCTTAGTGATTTAAGTTCGAAGTTTCATTGTTTATCCAGTAGGTTTTTTTTTAATTTCATATAATACCTATACCAAAGAGTAGTTGATATGATGGGGGTTCTAAGCCACTTTTTGGAGGGAAATTGGAATTCGTATGTTAACAAGTGAGCCAAAAATTGGCCTAGAACCCCCATCACGTAACTACTCCAAAGATAAAAAAAAACAATAGTTGCTTTTAGTTATTAAGATAAAAACTATCCTTAGAAATCCTGAAGGTAAGCAATAATAATTATTATAATAATTTCATACTCCTCAGGACAGTAGTTTAAAGTTTTGGTACTGTGTAATTGTTTGTTTGAGAATATGCAGGAAATTGCATTCTTGGAAAACAAATGTGTGTTTAAAGTTCAATGAAATTATTTTTAGACAATTTTTATATTTAACTCTACTTACTCTGTGGATGTATTTTAAACAGCGAGTCCATAAACAATAACGAAAAACTGAATTCATTATCAAGCGCAATTATTTTTTTTTTAAGATTCCTAACAATTACGCCAATTTTGTTTTCTTCGTATTTTTAATTCGAGATTTCTTTGTGTTTAACAAGTGGTTTGTTTTAAAATTAGCAATAGCGTTAATGAAACAATTTCGTTGAATTAAAAAAAAATCTAAAATAATCACAACAGTTTTGGCCTGTTTTGATTTCTCAATTTCTCGGTTTTTCATGTTTACATGTCTCGATTTTCTAATTTTTCGATTTTACGATTTTTTATGTTTAGATTTCTTAAGTTCTCAGTTATTAGATTTTTGATTTTTTTTGATTTTTCGAATTTTCAATTTTTCAATTTATCGGTTTATCAAGATTTCGATACGTATTTTGATTTCGATTTTTCAATGTTTAGGTTAGTCGATTTTTTTTATTTTAACTTTTAAATTTTTAGCTTTTTCATTTTTCGATTTGGGCTATTTCGATTTTTCAGTTTCTTGGTTTTTCGACTCTTCGATTTTTCGATTTTTCAATTTTTCGATTTTTTTATGATTCCATGTCTCCATTTTCTAATTTTTCGATTTTATGATTTTTTATGTTTAGATTTCTTAAAATCTCAGTTAGTTGATTTTTATTGTTTTTTTGATTTTTCGATTTTTCTATTTGCCAAAATCAGTCTTATCTGATCAAGTATAAGCCCCGACCGCCCACCCTTATTTTCCTAGAGGATATGTCATTTGTCAAAATAAGACAACTTTTCGGTTTTTAGAATTTTTGACTTTTCGATTTTTCAATTTTTCGAATTTTTCATGATTCCATGTCTCCATTTTCTAATATTTCGATCCCTCAATTATCCGATTTTCCGATTTTTTTTTTTTGATTGTTCATATTTTCGATTTTTTGATTTTTCAACGTTTAGATTTTCGATTTTTTTTTTATTTTAACTTTTAAATTTTTAGCTTTTTCATTTTTCGGTTTGGGCTATTTCGATTTTTCAATTTCCCGGTTTTTGGAATTTTCAAATTTTCGATTTTTCAATTTTCCGATTTTTTGGTGTTCCACTTCTCCATTTTCTAATTTTTCGATTCTTCAATTTTTCCATTTTACGATTTTTTTTTATGTTTAGATTTCTTAAGATCCCAGTTATTCGATTTTTAAATTTTTTGAATTTTTGATTTTTCAATCTTCCTATTTTTTACCGATTTATCGATATTTCAATTTAGGTTTGTTTTTTTTTAATTTTAACTTTTAAATTTTTAGCTTTTCCATTTTTCGGTTTGGGCTATTTCCATTTCTAAATTTCTCGATTTTTCGAATTTTTGACTTTTCGAGTTTTCGATTTTTCGAATTTTTCATGATTCCATGTCTCTATTTCTAATTTTTCGATTTTTCGATTTTACGATTTTTTTATTTTTAGATTTCTTAAAATCTCAGTTATTCGATTTTTAATTTTTTTGAATTTTTTGATTTTTTAATTTTTCTATTTACCGATTTATCGTGATTTCGATGTTTTGATTTTTTTTTTGTTTATATTTTCGATTTTTTGATTTTTCTATGTTTATGTTTGTCGATTTATTTTTAATTTTTACTGTTAAATTTTTAGCTTTTCCATTTTTCGGTTTGGGCTATTTCAATTTCTCAATTTCTCGGTTTTTCGAATTTTTGACTGCGATTTTTCAATTTTTCGAATTTTTCATGATTCCATGTCTCTATTTTCTAATTTTTCGATTCTTCAAGCTTTCGATTTTACGATTTTTTTATTTTTAGATTTTTTAAAATCCCAGTTTTTCGATTTTTACTTTTTTTGAAATTTTTGATTTTTCAATTTTTCTATTTAACCATTTATCGAGATTTCGATGTTATGATTTTTGATCGTTCAATTTCTCGATTTTTCCATTTTTCGATTTTTCTATGTTTATGTTTGTCGATTTTCTTTTAATTTTAAGTTTAAAATTTTTAGCTTTTCCAGTTTTCGATTTGGGCTATTTCGATTTCTCAATTTCTCGGTTTTTTCGAATTTTTGACTTTGCAATTTTTCAATTTTTCGAATTTTTCATGATTCCATGTCTCTATTTTCTAATTTTTCGATTCTTCAAGTTTTCGATTTTACGATTTTTTTTATTTTTAGATTTTTTAAAATCTCAGTTTTTCGATTTTTACTTTTTTTGAAATTTTTGATTTTTCAATTTTTCTAATTAACTATTTATCGAGATTTCGATGTTTCGATTTTTGATTGTTCAATTTCTCGATTTTTCCACTTTTCGATTTTTCGATGTTTATGTTTGTCGATTTTCTTTTAATTTTAACTTTTAAATTTTTAGCTTTTCCATTTTTCGATTTGGGCTATTTCGATTTCCCAATTTCTCGGTTTTTTCGAATTTTTGACTTTTCGATTTTTCAATTTTTCGAATTTTTCATGATTCCATGTCTCTATTTTCTAATTGTTCGATTCTTCAATTTTTTGATTTTACGATTTTTTAATTTTTAGATTTTTTAAAATCTGCGTTATTCGATTTTTGATTTTTTTAAATTTTTTGAGTTTTTAATTTTTCTATTTACCGATTTATCGTGATTTCGATGTTTTGATTTTTTAATTGTTCATATTTTCGATTTTTTGATTTTTCGATGTTTAGGATTGTCGATTTTTTTTTAATTTTAACTTTAAAAGGTAAAAACCTTTTCGATTTTTCGATTTGGGCTATTTCGATTTTTCAATTTCCCGGTTTTTGGAATCTTCGAATTTTCGATTCTTCAATTTTTCCATTTTTTCATGTTCCATGTCTCGATTGTCTAATTTTTCTATTCTTCAATTTTACGATTTTTTTATGTTCAGATTTCTGTAGATCTCAGTTTTTCGATTTTTAAATATTTTTGATTTTTCGATTTTTCAATTTTTCTATTTACCGATTTTTCGAGATTTCGATTTTTTGATTTTTTGATTGTTCAGTTTCTCGATTTGTCGATTTGTCAATGTTTAGGTCTGTCGATTTTTTTTATTTTAACTTTTAAATTTTTAGCTTTTTCAATTTTCACTTTGGACTATTTCGATTTCTCGATTTTTCGGTTTTTCGAATCTTCGACTCAATTTTTCGACGTCTTCGTTTTCAAATTATTCGATTTTACGATTTTTTATGTTTAGATTTCTTAAAATCTCAGTTATTCGATTTTTAATTTTTTTGAATTTTTTGATTTTTCAATTTTTCTATTTACCGATTTATCGAGATTTCATTGTTTTGATTTTTTGATTAATTTCTCGATTTTTCGATTTTTCAATGTTTAGATTTGTCGATTTTTTTTTAATTTTTACTTTTAAATTTTTAGCTTTTCCATTTTTCGATTTGGGCTATTTCGATTTCCCAAGTTCTTGATTTTTCGAATCCTCGAATTTTCGATTTTTCAATTTTTCGATATTTTCATGTTTCCATGTCTTCATTTTCTAATTTTTCGAATTTAGGTTTTTTTTATGTTTAGATTTCTTAAGAACCCAGTTATTTGATTTTTAATAT